CAAGAGAAATATTTGCATTTTCTTTCAACGCCAGCTCATGGCTCTGAATTTCAACTTCTGGGTGTCTGTCTTAAGGCAGCGGCAGGTTTTGCATCAAGAGCTTTCCCGAAAGTTTCACATTTCAATGCAAATATTCTTAATCCTCAACTGTAAGCCCCTAATTAAGGCACTAATTCCACCAGCTACTTCAGCTCCCAAGCAGTCCTGACAAGGTTAATGGAGCTCAAGCATTTAAAGGCTCTCTGCAGCAGCCACAATCTCCAACAACTTGCTTCCCCGCTCTTCAAAACCTGCCAGGGGAGGCAGGACACATGTGCCACCTGCTCCTGGCATCCACCCTTCTGCGACATGAAGAACCCCAAAACGGGGCAGCGACAGGTGAAATGCGAGGTCCAGAGTTAGTGCAAAGGGGAAAGAATTGCTGCCACGGCGAGAGGGAGACATGGAGCATCACTGCAGTTACGCACAGGAGGCGATGGTTGTCCAGTGCTATAATTAGCTCCAGAATATTCATTAGTTCTCCAACTAATTCACTTGGGGAAAACAGAAATGCATCAAAGTGGAGGACTGTGCATCTCTTTTTTTTTTCCTGAAAACAGCTGAAGTAAAAATGCATGTTTTATTCAGTTCCTTAAGTTTCTTTTGAAGGAGGTTTAATCTCTTCCTAAAAGAGCTGAAGACAGAACACAAAGCAACCACCTCATTTTGTAGAACCGATGCCGGAATCTCCGAGTTCATGACAGATTCAGCATCGGAGCCGCTTACTTGATAGCAGACAGCTGGAAGTGGAGGATTAAGGCATGTCAGGAGCCAGGGCTGAGGTTAATTCTCAGCAGCCTGCCTCATCCTTTGCCCTTCAACACTTAACTGATCATTTTTCTTACTGGCACCTACAACCCAGAACCGTAGTTAACTCAATCAACTCCAGGCGCCGCCGCTCAGAGCGCAGATGTGAGTTCGGGCTGGTGACACCGGGCTGCACACACGCATCTCCTGGATTATAGGTGGATCAAGAACCACCACAATGTAACCTTCAAAAAAAAACCCAAAGAGAAGTCAGTGTCCTGCAGAGCAGGGTGTCCCAGCTGAATGGGGGTACAAAGCCGAAAGGAACACCAGAGGTAGCTGCAGGATTATCGGGAACCCATCATACAGCAGCACAGCAGGAACCCATCAAAAAGGCACTGAAACCCAAATTCCTGAAGACAAGTCTCTACCCAACATGTCTGCATTTTGCAGAAGCCAAGCATTTCCCCTCTTCTTCCTCCTCCTCTACAAAGAGAGCTCATTCATCTGCTATTTGTATTTAGGGGCTTTCACTTCCCTCGGTCCTGCAGGACACGAGGCTGCCCAGGGCGCAGCTTCCAAATATCGCTTTTATCAACAGCATCTATGGGACAGAAAACGTTTGTCACGGCCCAGGTTCTTCTCAAGCCACCGCAGTTTTCAGAGACTCGTTTTACATCACCCTCAAGCCCCACCATGGCTCCTCCCTGCTGCCCTCAGGAGATGACATCCCCACTAACCGCTCTCGCTGGCAGGGAGCTGCTTCCCCCAGCCCAGCTGTGAGCGACTGCAGTAAAGTTTTCCTTCGTCTTGGTCAGCCTCTTGTCCTCAGCACAGACACGCCGATCTATCAAATGGATAAAAAGTCCAGGAAAAATAACAAAACTGAAGCTGGGCCAGGGGAGAAGGAACCAGTCAACACCTACGCGTGGCTGAGAGTGATCCGGTAGCACGGGCTCAGAATAAAGCAAAGCTGCTGCACGCCCCTCAGCCTTTGCTCGATAGCTTACTGTCCACATCAGGCATTTGTTAAACAGATCGCTATTCATATTAGACACGTACGTGTCGCCTTTCATCCAAAGAGACCTGCAATAGCTCATCAAGAGAGAAACCAGTTCAGCCCCTCCCAGATCAACCCTGCGGGTGGCTGGGTTAGCTGAGCAGACCCAAGGGGCTCCGGTACCGTTTTGCCCGACGGAAGGTTTGCCCTCCTACGGCAGGGCTCGTGCGTGAGCCCAGGCTGGTGTGCAGGGCTGGAGCTGCTCCACGGAGGAGGAAGGCTGAGCGGAGGTGAATCGGTCCCCGCTTCTTCAGGAGAGCAAACACAGCCTATTCTCCTACACCAAGTTCACAGTGAGCCGCCACGTGCTCATCTCTCATCCGCTAAATATTTATGAGCCCATTATGAAAAACAAATTTATCACTTGCAGTCTCAGCCAAGTTTGGAAGGATTCAAATATTTATGCTGACAAGGAGGAGCTCTAGCCCTGCCTCCCAGTCGAGCGGAGGATCGAGCATTTTCGGGCCTCGCCCCTCTCCCTGGGCAACACACCGCTGCTCGCTGTCGTAATTTCTCTGGCTTGCTTGCAGAACTTCTCCCCCACTCCACGTGTGCGCTCACGCTCCCACAAAGGAGCTGCTGGATCAGGAGGCAGAGACACCGAGCGGAGCTGCCGGCATCTGCTCTTCGGGCCGGGTCCTTGGCGCAGGGGAGCTGCAACTGGGAACAGGGATGAGCTTTGCCAAGTGAATCATTTCTTCCCCATCCCACCCTTTTGGCAAAGCCGGCGTCACCTTCCACTTCCAACAAAGGGCATGGGCAGCGCTCAGCCGGGAAAGGGACATGACCGTTCCCTTCCAAGCCGTCCCCGGTGAGGCTGAGTCCCGAGCGATGCCAGCCCAGCCTCTGCCATGGATCCCATCTCCACGGACACAAACAAGTGGGAAAAACCCTCGGCCCCTTTGCCGCAGCGTGGTGCACAGAGCTTGTTGCACGTGGATCACTTTCCTCCTCGGTTGCCTCCGTCAAGACTATCAAAACGAACCAACTGATGCATATAAATCTGCAAGTGCTTCCCCTCAGCACGGAGGAAGAGCCAAACCGTCGCTAGCAGGGGTGGCTCAACAAGGTTTTACATCAGCCTGGTAAATTCAGAGGCTGCAAGTCGCATCTGGTTCAGAGCAGCTGCACTATCCCGTTCAGGGAACTAATTAAACCTCCACTAACAGCACCACATTTCTGTTTAAACCTCACTGTTGCCATCATGACCAGCGAGATCAGCCCCTTTATGCACATAAAATCACTGCAAAGCACTCCAAGCGTTGCCCACAGGTGCATCTTGATCATTTCTTATCAATTACAGGAGTCTGCTTTAGGATATTTAGGATACTAAAGAGCAAACTAAGCTGAAGGCAGCGGATCACCAGCTGGTGGCTCGTCCCCCTTCTTACGAGAATATTTAATTTTACGTAAGGTCTTTCAGTGGAAACATTCTGCAAAGAGAGGCAATTGCCTTGTCACAGATGGGGAAACTGAGGCAGAGAGGAAAAACCTTTGTCTAGAATCGTTCAAGCTGGTCTGTGACGGTCATGAGAGCCCACGGCAAATCAGAGCTCTACCCACAGGATGCTACTACCAGATAAAAGCAATTCCACAAAATCTTTGAAACACTCCAGAAACCAGGAAGACAAATAAAACCATTGGGTTTTGATAGCATGACTTTTTTTTCTTCTTTTTTTTTTTTTTGAGTTAGACCTGCCCCATTTTAGATAGATGTGAATTTTTCACATTCTTTCTCTGATTTCTTCATCTAAACATACCGGGAAGGAAAAGCAGATTTTCCTCCTGTGGCTTGTTAGGCTGCCTCTGGGTGGAAATGATGCTTTTTGTTTACAAGCAGGGAAGCAGATCTGCGGGTTCACTTCTCTGAGCAGAGGAAGCACCGGCACACCAAGCCCTGACCTCTGCTACCAGTGAAGTCCTGCAGCACCATAAAGCCAAAAGGCTTCCTCCCTTTCAATGTCTGCTGTAAACAGCTCAGCTCAGCACAAAAAGCACGGCGAAAACGAGCCAG